CCGCTCGGACCCTGCGGACACCCGCGCCCCCGCCCAGCCCCCACGCGGCTCCGGGCCAGCCTCCGGGCCTGGGAGGCCGGCTACATCGAGGAACCCAGGAGGCCCCCTCCCCTCCGTGGAGAGCCAGGACTCAGGCCCTGCAGTGAAAAGTTAAGTCCTTCCCAACTCCCTCTCCCCGAGCTGCGAAATCTACTCACCGAGAATGGCACACAAGATACCGCGGAAGCTGATGGGTCGCCAGTAAACCAGCTGGGACTTTTATTTTCTTGAACCGATGATTCACACGGAGGCTACTCCTTCGGGCCACTGTTCCGAGTGCGTTACAAACAGAAACCCACGTAATCTTCACAGTTCCTTTTTGGGTCCCGCGGTGACCCTCTTTCTACAAATAAGGAAACTGAGACAGAGAGGGAAAGCTACTTGCTCAAGGTCATCATTTGAACCCGGCAGCGGGGCTCCAAAGTCTGGGTCTTTTATCACTTCACTGTGCTGAATGTGTCTCTCTCAGAGGCATTCATATTCACAGCTTTCTTTAAAATTATTTTTTATCATTTTGATTTTGTTTAAAGATTTAATTTATTTGACAGAGAGAGACACAGGGAGAGAGGGAACACAAACAAGCAGGGGGAGTGGGAGAGGGAGAGGCAGGTCTCCCCTTGGAGCAGGGAGCCGGATGCGAGGCTCCATCCCAGGACCCTGAGATCATGACCTGAGCCGAAAGCAGATGCTTAACCCACTGAGCCACCCAGGCGCCCCAATCATTTTTATTTTTTAAGTAACTCTATGCCCCTGATGTGGGACTTGAACTCATGACCCTTAGATCAAGAGTCGGTGAGAAATTGCAGGTCAAGCAAAACCCACACTAGTGGCTGGCCTGTGGACCACTGGTTTGAGACCCCTGCCCCAACTTGAGGGTCTTAGCTTGAAGTCCTTGTTTGGATTCTCAGAGAGTCAATGGACTCCCACATTGGTAGTATTCGTGACGGGTAACATGTATGAATCGCCCACTAGGCCCCAGGGCTCTCTTTTTCTTGATCTTCTTACTCTGCTAAATCCCGTGAGGTAGGGACCTGTGCTGTCCTAACACCAAGCGGAGGAAACTGAGACTCATGCACATGACTGCTGACCCAAGGCCACACAGCTAGCAGGCGGTAGAGCGAGGGATTCTAACTCAGGCCATTTAGAACGGAGTTCATTCTCTTCGGTGAGATCTGCAAGCGGCTTTGGTGGGGATGGGCCACAGCTGTGGGGATGCTGATCGAGTGCTCTTAGCCGACTCTCCACAGCACGGAATCATCTGGGCCCAAATAAAGGAGGTTGAGAACCCCCGGTGTATGCCAAGTCCGACTCCATCACCATCACAGCCGCCACCACCACCCACCGCCTCCCCATCAGCCACCTCACCACCAACCCCTCTCATCTCTCCAGCTAATCTCTCTCGCTGTCTCTTTCTGACTTTCTCCACTTCCCTGGGCTTTGGTGGGGATGGGCCACAGCTGTGGGGATGCTGATCGAGTGCTCTTAGCCGACTCTCCACAGCACGGAATCATCTGGGCCCAAATAAAGGAGGTTGAGAACCCCCGGTGTATGCCAAGTCCGACTCCATCACCATCACAGCCGCCACCACCACCCACCGCCTCCCCATCAGCCACCTCACCACCAACCCCTCTCATCTCTCCAGCTAATCTCTCTCGCTGTCTCTTTCTGACTTTCTCCACTTCCCTG